AAAAAAAAAAAAAAAAAAAATTCCGACCTCACCTATGTGAGGGGTTGGTAAAACCCCTGTAATTGCTGGGTCTGTACGCCCAGCACGACTGAAATATAATTACCATCGTAAAAATTTACAATTATAATCTCAATTCAATAAAAACTAAAAATGAAAAAGAAATACAATGTCATGGTGTACTCATAATCTCAGTGTAACTTTTCATTTTTATCGTCTTATCAATTCATTCTGAAAATTTTCATTATGAAGAAAAGAATTTTCGATACTATTTTTTTTTTCTTATAGTTGTTTTTTCAAAGAAGAAGGGGAAGTTAAACCATTTTTTTCCTTAATTTTTTTCTGCCAGACGCGTATTTATTTATGTATAGAATTTTCTCTACTATCTGATTTTATGTTTATTGTGGGTATATTTGTGTATACAACGACGAAAAGGGTGTGAAGGCAACATTGGATGGAGTGTTGGGAGGGTATGGGCATGTAAATGAACCGAATATAAAGAGCGGGTGAGGAATTCTTGAATTCCCTTTTGGCTAAAAGATTTCTTGATACTAGTAGAGATGCCAATCTTATTGTTCTTGTAACTCTTTCTCTGCTTTGTTTCTATTTCCTTTTAGTAATGCGTGCACATCAAAAAGAAAGAATAAGGAAAGAAAAGAAAAAAATTAGGTTATGTTCGTGGAGGAACAATAATTTATTTTATTAAAAAAAATATTGAAACCCTACTTATGTAAATTTACTTACACTTGCTTAAGTAAATAAGAAAAATACTACAATTTTGGTGGATTTAATAAAATTCGTTGTTGTAATATAATTACCTTTTATGCTATTGGGGCATATGATTTGACAGAATTGCCCACGTTGTAGGGTTTCATGGGATCATGCCAAGATGCTATGAATGTACGTAATTTTTCATTTCAATAGTTTGTATGATTACTTGAGCTCCTATTTGGTAGAAATTAAAATTTAGGTCAAAGTCAATAACTAATTTAAATCACATATTTTATAGGATTCACAATTTTTCATTGACATATTTCATCAACTTTTATCAAAATGTACTAAAAATCTAATACCAACATGTATTCATTTGCAATTTGTTGATGCAATGTTATCAAGAAGCATCATCGGTACTTTATTCACTAATTGTTGGAAGTTATCCGTATCAACAACCAAAAAAAATCTATATTTTTTTATATAAGTTACTATAAAATAAGTTAAATGGTGATTATATTCACCCCATAATTTTTATTTTTGTCACCAAACTCATCATACTTTCAAAAATGGCTATAAGTAAAATAACAAATAACCATACCACTGTGTTCAGACAAAATCCGCAAGTATATGTGATCGATGAAAAGTAATAATGTGATAAGTTGAGTTATCATCCTATGAGAAATAATTGTTAAGTATAGAGAATTTGTTACCGACCTTATTCCTATTTTGAATTCATATACAAAGGAAGCATTTAATTATATGATTATCACACACAATTGCACACACCCTAAATATTATTCCTAATAACTAGTATCCGCATGTCAAATATGTAGTGTTCTACTTATAAGTCTCTCAACACTACAAATGAGCAACAAAGTTATATAATTGGTAGCTAAACAATCAAATAACACAATATTCGTGTATATTTAATCACACAAACAAAAAATAATTAAAATACAATAAGTCAACTTAAAAAGTTTTGTCATCCATCTAATACACAAGAAAAAAATTTAGCGTCACACAAGTGTATCTAAATTCCACAAGAAGTTAAGAAAGAGATATCATCCAATTTAAATAATAGATGTAGAGGCTTGAGAAATCAATTTCTTGCACTTTTCCTTCAATTTGAGCTTTGAATCTTCAATTTCTTGTGTTAATTCTCTTTAAAGCTCTTGATCGGCGTCGTTTCAATGATAAAATGATTCGTATTCACTTTGTAAACCTTGATTATGTAATATTAGATGTTAGAGATGTCATTTCATGCATAGCCGAACCAAGAAAAAGGAAACAAAATCTTCCTCCCGGAAATCAACTGGGCAATCGCCTCTAAAGAGCTTTTTGGCTTCAGTCAGGCAAATGGAGAAGTTAAGCTCGCCCTCGAAAATTTGTACTAGGCTGCACTTTCTAGTTATATGCCGAGTAGTCATCAGTATATTTATTATAACTTTCTTTCTCGATATTCAATTAAAATGATTTAAAGTGTGTTGGAAAACTAATTTAGAGGGCTACAATTATTCTAGATATATTGGTTTTCTAGTTTGGATGTTTACTATGCCAAAAATGAATCATAATCCAGAGCTAAGAATCTTGAGCATAACTTTTTCAACTAGAATTAATGTACGATAATACTTTGACTATATGTTATCTCTTTGACTTCTTATTTCATCCAATTGTCCCCTAGTACATCTCGAATTTTCATCTTGAGGTTCAACACAACTATTGAATATTTGTACTTTAATTCCCAAACTTTGGTTCTTTTACAATTTATCCATTTTCTGCCAATTACGCCTATCCGTCGATTTGTACCTAATAAACACAATACACATAGAATTAAATCACAATTAGTCAAAATAATCAATAAATACTCTAACTTAAAAAGTCCAAATAAGTGTACAAAATATACTTATCAAACACCCCCACAAACTTGAATATTTGTTTGTCAAACACCACAAATTTGAATATTTATCAAACACACTATTGCATAACTTAAAACACAAGTGGTTAGATAACACGTTATTGGTTTAAAGATAGATTTTTATTTTTATTTTTATTATTATTATTATTATTATTTTGTCAATACAAATAATAGTTTCAAAATCACATAAAAGAATCAACTTTTAGCCATTCAATGGAAATTCAACACGTTTATGTGTGTGAAGACATGTAAAACATTACAAACTCATGCTTGGTTTAATAACAGCCCTCTATGGTCAAATATATCGTTTGTTCACTCATAAGATACATACTCCAAAACTTATTCTTTTCACTCATTTCCCCAATGTGTAATCCTAGGTTGAATTTCAAATGATCTTAATCTTCACTCTCTCTAGTTGGATAGATGTCACTAGTAGTAAGTTTACACTTCAAAACTAAAGATTATCCTATATTTTGATCGCTTCAACCTCCTAGAGTCAACTAAGCTAATTATCGAAAGTCTAGATATCTAAAATAAGTGTTTGGGACTTAACCAAGACATTTAGTATCTTATATGCAGACTTTCTCCATTTAAGCTTTCTAAATGATCATTGTTGCGAGATATTTTTACTCTCCTAAATTTTAATGGAATTTTAGGACGAAATTGTCATAAAAAACAAGATACACTAATTAGTAAAAGATAATGTATAAAATGCAATTAAAAAGTCAGAGATTTAAGTATAAAATGAATAAAGACAATAGATCTTTCATGTAAATAAAATTGGTGCACTCATAAAAAAATGTGAAAAGTGTATAATTATCCTTTTGGGAAATTGTTCAAGAATCAAGTAGGGACAAAAATAAAGTAATTATATTTACACCTGTGTTCTAAAAAGCCCGTTGAAAGGCCTAGGCGTCGCTTAGGCACGAGGATCAAGCAAAATGCCACGCCTTGGCGATAAAAATTTAGTGGTCCCTTTTAGTTTATTTTTTATTTTTTAAAAACCTTTTATTTGATTTTAGTTTCAATTTTTTAAATGATTTTTCCCAGACAAAAGTAAATAATGAAAACACGTTAGAAAATTTCAAGTAGGAGTTGTCTAGTTGAAAGTTGAAAGTTGAAAGTTGAAAGTTGAAAGTTGAAAGTTGAAAGTTGAAATTATGAAAAATAATCTAATTTTTGCATTTTGAAAACTTGATAATTGTATAATTGATTAATTGTAAAAAATGATTAAGTAAATATATTGTTTTATAATTTTAGATGTTTGGTATGTATTATTTTATTTATTAAATAATTTTTATAATGAATAAAAATCTAAAATAATTTTAAAAATGAGAAATTGTTTTTTTACACCTAAACCTCGCCTAGACTCGTGGAACTTAAACATTGACCTCCACATCTAGTCACATGTTATGTTGTTTAGAACACTAACTTACGCAACAACCTTTGTTTGCTTAACCATATTTTAATTACAATAAAAGTCTCTAATTTTTGCTCATTGTTTGTGTTCTCAACCTTTTTTTTCGTTGCATTTTTATCATCAACCTTCCATTAATTAGAATATGTTGTTTTTATTAATGGTTATAATAAGTGTATTTTTATACACTTATTTAATACTTAAGTAAGCTTAAATATTGATTAAAGGAGTGAATTTCTACTCACAATTATGTAATTATTTTTTTGTAGGTAAAAGTCACACAAGAAAATAGAATAAGGCAAAAGGAAGGAGAAAACAACCAAAATTGTGCAAAATTGTTGGGGACCAAAATGAACAAGTGTAGAAAGTTAGAGGACTTTGGGTGCAGGATACTTATTTGAGCTTCATATTTTTAAGTAAACAAAAAATAAAAAATCAAACAATACAAAAGTTTAACAAAACGTTTACCTCTTATTTCAAAACATGCTAAAACAATATTTGGACAAATAATGTTAATAGAGACAAGATATGCTAATTAATTGAAGGTCGCT